AAAGGCAGATGAGGAGCTTCCGTAAAGTCCATCTGGGATGGAGAAATGGACAAGACGAGGTAAGAACGATGAGAATGGTGGAGGAGATGATTTGTCACAACTTGATGAACTACTTCCGTGTTCGTAGTAGGCTAATGACGAGCTAGTAGTTTTGGGAAACAATCATCACAACTCACCAACCATCACAAACGAATCTTAAATCACATCATACAAATGAATGAATAGTAAAGCTTATTTAGATTTTCAAGTCTATATATAACATATAGTCAGTAGTATCATTATTTCAACCCCAGCTTCCATTTTATGGCCGCCTTGTTTGAAAGAATATGCAATCAAGACAAACTACACATCCACCAAGACAAGACAAGACAAGGCAAGAGAAGTGAAGAGAAAGAGAGAGAGAATGGTATCACATCATCTATCTTACCTCATCATATCATTGTTGGTTCTAATAAAATGGACATAGTTGCTAGTATATAGAGATGCAAAACGGAGTAACCCTACAACATTTTTAATGACACTCTCTGCATTAAACTTCTCTAAGAACTCAGCTCCAGAAAAAGGCTGGCCTGAGGATGCAACCCGGCTTCTTTCAAGGACAACAACAGCTTCTCCGGTCCATATACCACTCGAGGGAAGTTAGAAACCAGACTGTAATTCTCCACATCTAAGCAACCCAAAGAATCAACATAATCATAGAGAGTTTGGATTTTTGCACTACTGTCGAACCTCCTTTCCTTCCGTTCTCCAGTTGGGAACCTCACCACAACCTATTTGTTAAATTATAATTCACAACCATGCATTAATTACACACGGAACTGAACATGTAAACATATATGATAGTAGTTATCTGAAATATCAATACATTCAAAAGGTACAAGAAAATAACAAGGGAAAATTTGAGTTCTAATGCACGAGGGATTACTTGTGTAACACTAGGTCCTTTTTCAGGTTCGGCACCAAGCGACAAGGCTTTCTCCTGCCGCATCCTAGCTAGTGCAGCCTCTTTCTCCGCAGCTTCACGTGCTGCTCTTTCACGAGCCTCTTCTTCTTCCAAGCGCTTCCTCTCAGCTTCAGCTGCCTCTCTTTCCAGACGTTCTTGCTCTTCCCTCCTCTGGTTTTCCCTTGCCTGAAGCAAAGGAAGATAACAATGAGGCAATGGGAAAATAACAAACAACCTAAGAGCTTTCTAAAATCTAAGATTTTTGTCTGTGACGTGAAAGGGCAAAGGGAGCATGCACTTAGATTAAACTATAAACATACTTGATCAGCTTCAAGTGCTGCTCTATAAGCAGCATCTTGCTCCTCCCTTAAACGAATGTTGTTTCTCCTTTCTTCTGCATCAAGCCTTGCTGCAACAAGAACAGAAGCACTTTCTTCAACCACTCTGTTCAATATTGCGAGCATTTCTTCAGGAGACTTTGGCCCCTCAACCTGCCAAACATGATAAAGATACTCATTAAGGATAAAATGAACAACAATAAGTTGTCATCATTCATATCTAGTTACCAGAAAGTTGAAAGGAAAATAGGGAAATGGAAAGGAAAAAAAATGCACACACATCAAAGTCAAAACATTATCATATACACTAAATCCGCTTACAAAACATCATGTTCAAGATGCATAAGGAAAACATGTTAAAGGTAAGGCATTAAACAAAATGCTCATACCAAGCTATGGACTTGCAGAATTTACTCAGTAAGAGCTTATTTAAACTCAAATAGCTCAATTACAAATTTTCCATCCACCTAAAGTCAAAAACGAAACAAGAATACAACAAAAAAAAACATAAAAGATTTAGACAGAGGGAAAAAAAGGATGAAGAATAAGAAAGCTAAACGACAGGAATAGGTTGATGTCTAACCCCGTTTCCGCTGTTGACCATTAACAAACCACCAAAGAATCGTGTTGCTGCTAAAATTACTCACGCCAAAGTGAACATGCTAAGCAGTGTTTCCATGCAAAGTTTCTGCTAGCATTACATGAAAATGGGATGTTTGTAGCACTCTGAACAATCCGAATAGGGAAAGCCAATGAACTCAACCCTTAGTTCAATACAAAGACACCGGTCTGTAACATTCCCAGTTAACCCCCAGAATCGCTACTGCTGACACCAGTTGACTCATTTACAAGAAACAGAAAGGAGTCACTTAAAATGAGTCAAACGTATTCTTTCAGTATGTCATGCTGATAACCGATGAGATAACCACCCAAATTGGAACTTTATCTCTCGAGAGAGCTAAGAAACCTTCATTTTCTACCTTCAGTACGGCCTAAAAAGATACAATGACATACATGCAATAATTGCCATTCCTAATTAAGCCTACAGAGCTATGAATTTCGTATAAATAATTCTAATACGAAAAAAAAAA